ACACTAAAAAACTACCAGGTCTGTGCAGTGTCCTATGACATCTGTGTACCAAGTTTTATTGAAATATGATGATTAGTACTTGAGAAATCAGTGGAAAAGCCAAAAATTATTATTCATTATGCAAATTAGGTAATTAATGTTGCACAGATTTTTACCAAAACCTGATAAAATCTGCGCATTGGCCCAGAGCATCTATGCACCAAGTTTCATCATAAATCAATGTATGGTTCTTGAAATATCAGTGGAACAGACGCTGCGACTGTACCAGGTGATGAACACTGTAGGTAATTCAACATTGGGATGAATGGAAAACCACAACACTGCCTAGAAATGGTTGCAATTTGCATTTTCGCCCAAAATTTCAAGTGTGTCAACTTCAGAATGTCATCTCTATTATTTATCTGTTAACATAACCATACTTTAATCTCATAAGATACAAACTGTATGACTGATAATATACTTACCCTCACAGCAAAAAACCCTACAAGTAAAGACACAACATCTGACAGCATGTGAAATGAGTCAGCAACTAACGCCATCGAGTTGGTCACATAACCAACAATTATCTCAACTAAGAAGAAAGTTGCGGTCATAGACAACATAACTGACAGACGACATGACTTTCCAGAGTAGCGTCCCATGATTATTGATATCTGAAAAAAGCATTGGACGAGTATATAATTACTATCGTTTCAATCATTCTTTGAATGACAATGTTTATGTAAATGTTGATACACTAATACAAAGTGATCAATTATTGAAGTTTTCACTACTTATTAAAACTTGAAACTGAATGCGTTGTCGGCTGCTCCGATGCTGGCGACATGAAGTCTGGGTGCGCTGTGAATGTGTCAAAACAATCTTTATTGTAGCAAAACAACTTCAATAAACATTGTAGCAATGTTGATAATAACTTGAAGCAGTGCAGCAATATTTATGTAAATAATATCATTCAAAGAATGACTGAAATGATAGTAATCGGTAAATATCATAGCTTTGTATATAACTAAATAAATATATGAATATTCTTAACAGCTGAAAATTGGCCTGTGTTCACAAGTCACTGTGATATTCTGCCTTCCATTGTATCAATAGGCACACCAGTAATTGACAGATATAGACTTGTAATTGAAGTTGTCAATTGAACATGCCATACTCACTTGTTAATCAACTGAGTTCTAGATTCTATAAAAAGAGTAAAAAAAAAATTTCAGTCTGATTTGTAAACTGATACTTTAGCTGTATAAATATCAGATTCAGATATTGGTGTAAAGTGGATTATTGGTCATCACTATGTATGATTGCTATGGAAAAACAAGCAGCCTGTCGGCTGAGATAGCTCCGCTGTTAGCAATACACATTACAATTAAAGAACTGAAGATATTATTAGAAAATGAACAATATGTATAGTATCAAAGCAATCAGACTTGCTGTTTTTAACAAGAAGTCGAAAATATCAATTTTTACCAAACATTATAAAAATATTTATAAAAATTAGAGAATTTAAGATATCATCACAAAA